TGTGAGAACGCGGGAAGTTCCGTTAGTGCATGCGCCATGCTACGTCATTGCTCTATCACGTACGCACAGTCGCTTCGCGCAATATAAGGTTTGCTAGCTGTGGGACGAGTGGGAAACTTACTTTGTGGACGCGCCTCGTATATGTCATTAGTAGCGATGATTTATTTTGAAACCATTTGGCCCTGTAAGAGCTATATCATTTGATGGACAATGTGCACTATGTATTCACAGTGCGCTAGGTAATTTGTCATAAGATTGAGTGATCATGTTTCAGGCAACTCAGAGTCCTAGTGGCAGAGTGGACTTTGTATTGCATTATTCCACATTCAACTGTGGAGGCCCAGTTTCTGGTCCTCTAGATGTGCTGAAAAGTCCAGTGGCATCCAATGGGAATTACCCCCCAAACACTGCATGTGTGTGGGCTGTTACGCACCCCGAAGGCTCTGTTATAAATGTGAGTAACTCTTAATAAATGCATTGATTATTCAAATGTAGTATTATTTATAACAATTTCATTTGTAATTGTAACCTGTGTAGCTGTGTAAATGTTGGTACGCAGCCAAAGGATAACATGGCGCAACAACCCAGAAGACCGCCATCTATGCTGTTACTTTAGATTTTAGTGGATATATTCTTATTCCAGTTTGCTCTCTAAAAATATATGATTTTGAGAATCCTGTGAAGGGGGCTGAAACATAAAAAGTGGAGAAGTATATTACGTGTTAATTAATATATTGAATATGTTAATTTTAATATGTACGTCTGTCCATATCCCCGTTTTAAAAACTTGTTTCAATCAGAAACCCTCCATGCACCCCTCCTCAGTTTTCTTTATCATCTTCTGTCGTTTCTAAAGAATTTTATAAAGGTTTTAATTATGTTAATGGTACAGATAACATTCATCTCCATGAGACTAGAGAGTAACTGCAACCACGATTACGTGCTTATTCGGAATGGACCATATCCGTCTTCTCCACTGATAAACACATACTGCGGCAACAATCTCCCATTGCCCATTCTCTCAGAGTCCAGTGGTTTGTGGATTGAGTTCCACTCCGATGATTCCAAAGAGGATGAGGGATTCGAACTGAAACTTGAATCTGTCTTTGAAGGTGAGTTGGCAGTACTGTACCCATATGTTTTAAGTCTACATATCTCGTGGGTTGGCTTTCCAGGGCTGGCTCATTAATGCCAATGTTTGACACATGGATGGAAACTTGAAGACATTAAGTTATTTGAAGATGGCTGTCTTCTGGGTTGTTGCGCTGTGTAGTCTGGTAGAAGTTTACCGACGTTTCAGAGGTCATACTGCCTCCGTCATCAGGGACGGTGGCAGTATGACCTCTGAAACATTGGTTAACATCGACCAGACTACACAGCGCAACAACCCAGAAGACAGAAATCTTCAGACTCACTGCCATGAAAACCTCAAATCCTGCTTATTTGTTTTTATTGCATTGTGGATGCCAATGTAATACCATTTGAGTATACCTGTGTTACAGGTTGTGGAGGGCTATTACAAACCAAAGGCAACATGTTTTCTACCCCAAATTATCCAGGGAAGTATCCACCAAATTCAGAGTGCACTTGGGACATACGAGTGAAGGAGGGATATATTATCACTCTAAGCTTCTTGGAGCGCTTTGATATAGAACAGTCAAATGACTGCTCTGAGGACTTTGTGGAGGTAGGTAATAATTGCACATAGTAAAACATTTTGAAGAGATGTGTCCGTCCATTTATGGCATATATGGTTAATCGTTAGACCAGATCCTTCGGCTGACATGGCACGTTTCTCACATAGACCCAATACAGCAGCTGGTTATTCATGGTGCACTTTTCCCGTAGTTGTTTAACTTAACTTATTTTATAAAGGAGCCAAGGTGACAACTCTGTGCTTCTAAACGTGCCTCACATCATGATAAATATTTGTAGACACCTGTCTAAGTTTCTGTGAAAGAATAGTGTAAATTTTATGAATATTATTTGCCAAAAGTACTTCCAAAGAGCGTGTGTGCATCATTTACTTTTTCTTTCAGTTTGCCCACAAATAAATGTTACAATGTATTAAATTGGGTGATTATTGAGTGCATAGTACTTAAACTTATTGGTCATTTACTGAAGACTTCATGTAATGCAACCAAAGAATCATTTGCGTTATGTGATGTTGCATCATCTTTCATAAAATGCTGATGTAAGGGCTGTAAATGCATAGAAACCGAAATCTGTTACATGTTTTCTGAATAATACTTGAAATTATAAACAATTTGTAATTCATAAGTCATTGCCAGAATTCAGTACTTATTCTGATACACAAGATATTTTCAGAATATTGTTGTTGTTGTTTCTCGGCACTACAACCCTGTTGTGGGTTTCTGCCGCCTCCTTTTCGGAGGTTTCTTGGTCTTGGTCGTGCGTGAAGTAGTGAGTGACTAGCCCACTGCCTCTGCACAATTTCTACTCAATCCTGATATGACTGCCAGAACCATCTAGCAGTTAATCAGGAGAGTTTTTGGGTGAAAAATGGCTGCTGAATTTTGCTTACGAAACATCTCGTATAATGCTCATAAAATTCTTTTACATGCTGTAAATCTACGACATGGGACCACCAGTTTTACTTCCCCTCCGAAGGAAACTGCTATGGATTTTTATCACCCTTAAAAATCCATCAACCTGCGAACGTTGGGTCCAGTGGTGAGCACGCTAACCGCTAGTCCACCGATGGCAACATTTTCACAATATGGAATCAATAAAGCCTTGTCATTGAACCCTTGAAACAGTTTAATCCATTTCTCATCCCCATTGCCAATTTCCCTAAGATCCATTTGATATTATCCTTTCATCGTTCATGTCTTTGTTTCCCAGTAAAAGTTCAGTATGCATTTCTTTATTACTTGTACATTCTCTCTCCTCAGATCTTCTCAGCATCCGATTTGGCATATTTTTCTAAACGTCTTAAAGGAATATGTTGTGTCCATGTTTCTGTACCTCCATTCCTGAATAACATTTGAACTGATTTACAAATTTTTATATGTTAACATCTATGGACGTAGTGACTATTCTAAACCTTGAATTCCAACAAATATGGTTTTGAATGTGTAATGCTAAATATGTTGTATGTTGGCCTCACCTAGAAAGGAGCATCTGAAGGAAAGCGGAAGTCAGTGATTTGTTCTGTAACACCTCTTAATATTAGGTGTTAATATGATACAAAAAGAAAGTACTGCGTATTTTGCCTTAAGGTGGCGACTGACTTGTAACATTTGCCTGTAATGTAACGTGTTACAAATCGAGCATTACACAAGTGAAGACAGCGAACGGAGCCGCTCGATGCGAGTGAAATGAATGGAGCACACATGAGCACAGTCGAGCCGAGCGTTCAAAACGAGCATTCGATACGCCTCACCAGTTGTGGTGTAATGTAACATGCTCGCCGCGAATGTTACATTACGAGTAAATGTTACAAGTCAGTCGCCACCTTTACATATTGCATAAACTGCTGCAGGATTTATAATCCAAAGAAATCTTGCCCCTATTATAAAAATCTTCAGACTGAAGTGTCATATGGAAATATGACATCCGTAACGTTTCTTAAAATTATTGGTTTGTGTGTAAGAGAACCAGCTGGCTGACTCCTTATCCTCCTTTTACAACAAATCATAAGAGTTTCATTCTTGTGTTATCCTCATTCTGTGTTATGCTCTGCGGAACAAGTTTCGAGTGACAAGAAAATGATGCTGTGTATAAAGCCCTATAGAAAGAAACAGTCAAATTCATTGGAAGGTTGAAATCAATTTATAATCATTAATAAAACCCAAATTTGTGTTAAGTCTGAACTGGGAAATTTGAATTATTTGTGTTAGGCTCAACAGTGGAATCAGACTGCATTTTCTAATTTATGATAGCCATTATAGTTAATGTTTCACTAAATAAGAAAAATAAGTTATTCATTGTTTAATATTGATATGTATTGCTAATATTTAAAATATCAATTTTTTAATATTATTATTTTGTGGTGACAGTAGACATGATAAAAGTGTTCTGACCAGTTGGATTACAGTGGATATATAAAGTCATGAGATCTGATAATCAGAGTGTGCATTTATTCAACCATAATTTCACAAAGTTGGAAATGCTTAGATTATTTATTTGTACTTGTATTTGGATGCACAGTAAATAACATATTCTGTATCCTTCAGAAGCCAATTCTGAATCCGAATGGCAAATCTATGATGGCTGAAGAAGTATAAATTGTGGACTTTCCCATACACATTTTTTTTCGAGTCTTCACTCGGTTCATGTTTTAAGTCGCAGTGAATTTCTTTCAATGCTTTAAATTTGTGTTTCATATGATGAGGAAAAATATTGTTGCAAGACGTTTTTAGAATGGAAATGGTGTTCCAGGTGTTTGATTACGTGGACAGTGAGTGGGTGTCCCTCCAAAAACTTTGTGGTCGGAATCTGCCTTCCAGAATGAAATCGACAGGATCGCAGATGCAGGTGCTATTCCGTAGCAATCCAGGAGGCAGTAACAGTGGTTTTAAGGTAATAACAGTTCCCAGTTGGAATCCACTTGTCTGGTCATTAATTCTCTCAGCTCTTCCAAAGCAGTAGAGAATATCTGGTCGTTTTATTATGACCACTTCTTCTCATTCTGCTGTGAAAATTTACTTTATTCATGCCAGTCATTTTTGGATGATATTAGATTTTAAGTAGCATTAACAACATTTAGATTCAGATATTACTTACATACGACGTGCGATCGGAAAGTTTCAAGACTGCGCGTATAAAAACCCGTACACTTATCTCAGGTATTAAATTCATCCATCACCCTCGAAGTAGTTCCCCTGGGAGTGAACACAACGATCCCAGCGCCGCTGCCAAGCCTGGAAGCATCCCTGGAAATCTTTCTTTGTCAGCCTGTCAAGCACCATCTGCGATTCTGCCTGAATCTCTTCTATCGTCTCAAATCTCCTTACCTTTAGCTGAATTTTCATCTTTGGAAAGAGGAAGAAGTCACACGG